AGGCATGTACACAACAAGCCCATACGCCGCCAACTTCCCAGTCTCCAGACGGTATGTTGTACTCATATATTTTTCCATATTCAGTCTGAAGTTCTGCTAATGTGTATAATGTATGCTGTATTCTGCAGAATCTAACGTACACCAATCTTCTACCACTGCTACCACTACCGAGGTGACACTCACAAAGACGACGATGAAAAAGAAGAAAAGGAATCCCATGAGCGCGGGTGCCAAGGAACCGGAGATAGCAGATTCATTAGTATGCGACGAGGAAAGCAAAGCTAGTCCAGACATCACTGAACGTACGTTAACCTGTTTATGCTGTATATACGTGATATGACTAACCTTTATCGTATGCTGTATTTGTATGCATTACTGATTGATTTATCCGGAAATGATGCGGATGATGCGAATACGTATCACGACGACGAGCGCAACTACCAAGTACTGGATTCGGGTGATGAATCCGAGGAAGGTGACCTGAATGATCTGGATAAGAGTGACTCCGAAGCATCTGTGTCGGACACTATTGATGAGGATGATGGCGATGTCTTCTCAACCGAAGAACGCCACTTTGCATATCATTTTTTGGAAAAAATGGGTGGTGAAGACAAGGTTCTTGCTGGTGAAATTCTCGGTCCTGCCTTGAAGGAAGTAGCAACTACTGGATGGCATGAACGGGAAAGTCCTGACGTGGAAGAATTTCTACAGACGCCGTACACTCCGGTTTCAGATGGTGATGAATATCCTGATCTCCTGAAAGCTCAACACGGACCCACCGAAGCGGCGCTCAATACGGGTGGTTCACCAATAGCTCTATTTTTCCTCTTCATGCCGGTGTCGATGTGGCAGCATATCTCCGAGTGCAGTAATTTCTACATGCATGAGCAGCTTGACAAGAGGGTGGACGAGTATTTCCATAAAAAAGGAAGCTTTGGAACGCCGCGCCAGGGCAGCGGGGAGTGTTGTGACGCCAACCAAGAAGACGAAAACTCGCCGTGATGTACGGCAAGATTTTCTGTCGGTGAAGCCCGTTTTACCTCATGAAATCTGCGTGTACATTGGACTTCTCGTCGCTCGGACGGTCATGCCCAATCGCGAGAAATTAGCAAACCATTGGCGGCAAGATGACGTCGGTGCAATTTCAAGGGAAAGTTTTGGGCAATTCTTGGCTCGAGACCGGTTTCTTGACATCCGTCGAAACCTTCACTTCAACAGCAACCAAGACCCACGTGCCAAGACTGATCGTGCTTGGAAAATCCGATCTGTAGTGAACATTTTGCACCAGACTTTCGTGAGTTCATACATCCCTCCTGCGGAATTATCTTTTGATGAAGCCATGCTTCCGTCTCGGTCGTGCTACAACCGTACTCGAATGTATATGAAAGATAAGCCGCACAAGTGGGGGACAAAGCTTTTTATGCTTTGCTGTGCGCGCTCTGCTTATTGCATTCGGTAAGAGTGCCATTGTCATGTGCTGTATTATCTAGGTTACTTATACTGTATATACAACTTCTTGATTTTGATAGATTTGAAGTTTACTGTGGGCAAAAGCAACACATTGCGGAGTCTGGCGTTGTGGACAAGAAATCGGGTCCTGCTGCGGTTGTGCGCAACTTGAAGGCGGTGTTTGGTGACAAGCCTGCTGGCAAGGCCATGCGACTCGTAGTGGTTGATCGCTTTTACACCTCTATCGTTCTGGCGGTGCAGTTACTGATCATGGGTTTCTATACAATTGGCACTATAATGACGAGCCGCCGAGGATTTTGCAAGGCCGTGGTGTGGTGACGAAGAAGAAAACAAGACCCAAGAATATTCCACGCGGCTCTGTCACGTTTGCGCGCTCTAAACACGTGAACAACATGGCTGCTATTTGCTGGTGGGACAGCAAGCCTGTTCATTTTGTATCAGTCGGTGGAAATCTTTCGCTGGATAGAGTGGCTCGGAGAGAGAAGACTGGTGAACAGAACGAGATTGCCTGCCCGAAGGTGATCAAGGACTATCATCGCTTCATGGGCGGAGTTGACGTTCATGATCAACTCCGCCTCCACCGCTACTCTGTCCAGAGATCGATCACTTACCGCACGTACTACAAGTCGTTGTTCCTGGGGCTTGTCGATCTGGCCATCACGAACGGGTTCATTGTGCATCGCGCGTACTGCAAGATGAAGAAGACAAAGGCGATGACGCATGTACAGTACATGTGTAAACTGCATCAGCAGCTTATTGGTCTCAGTGAGGACGACATGTACGAAGAAAACACCTTCCTGCCTGGTAAGTCTTTATGATGTATCTCTTACAATGTATATACAGTGAAGCTAACCTGAATATACAGATGAAGACATATCCGTGGAAGAGGAAGTCTTTCCCGACACAGAGAGTACCAACCACAGCCCAAAGCAGAACGACGACTGGCGCGACCATTCGGGACAGCGGAAGAGGGTACAGAAGAACTGCAAGGTGTGTGCCATGAGAACGGAAGGCAAGCGAGGGGCCACTACAACCTACTTCTGCGACAACTGTGACTTTGTGGGGCCGATTTACTTGTGCGTCAAGCCGAAGTGGCTGGAGTCTAACAAAATGATGAGTTGCTGGGATATTTGGCACAAGGTGTACAAGAACGGTAAAGAGATTCCAGAGGCCATGAAGACCAAGAACCGCGTGCGTGCTCCAAGGACGGCGGGTTCTCCAGGGAAGTCGCCAGCCAAGCGTCGACGCGTAGGCTCTGCCGAATCGGAAGACTCTGAAGACTCCGATGCTTCTGAAGATTCCAAGTAGGTTTGAGTAGTAATGCATTGGTGAATGAACTTCGTGTTTCGTCTTTGAGCTGTACGTTTTGTTTATGAAAGAAGCTTTCAAAAGAGACCCTATCTAATGCACGCTTTCTTGAGTTTTAGAGATAAATTTCTCTACAGATCCGCGGCTCTCGCACCAGCCGACTGGTAAGAGGCATGGTCCATGCAACATAATCGGTCGAGTGGGCAACACACCGTTTTTAGCACAGCTGCAACAGCGTGCATAGCTCATGTGTAGCTGTAGTTATAACGGCTAGAGGCTCCTATGCACGGGTGTATATACAACAAAAACAACAACCAACCCCTACTGGTACGGACTCTCCCACGTCCCATCCGACTCCGTTCCCCTAGGGTATACTGAAACCCATATAAACGTACCATGTATATACAGCGTAGGCTAGAAAAAGGCAACAAAAATCTTCCAGGTTGAAGGGGTTAACACAAATGGCACCTCTGTAAGCCTAATAGAGAGAACATATCAAAGTAGCAGCTCCCAACTCAGGCTAGAAGCCGAGATATTGTCAGAAGTGTCCCGCCAAATCGGGGTCTTAATGATTTGGCGGGCACTGTAAGCATAGTATTTAATATACAAGCAGATGTTGGACGGCTGTGAAGTTTCTAGAAGCTTCCATCCGTCTGAACTGCGGGGGCGGCACTTTTCTTTTGGCGCGCTCTCCCCCTAGCTCCCTTGACTTCGATAAACTGGTAGCACTTGTTGGTCCCAGCAACCTGACAAGAAAGAGCCCATGCCGACGAACGCACAACTTCAAGCCGAGATCGACCGGCTCAATCAAGCGATAGCGGAACGCACGCGAGTGCCCAGCAACCTGCCCAAGTTCACCGGCAAGAGGGGGGAGACGTGCGCGATTGGCTGTTCCAGATCAAGAACGCCTGCCGCATTAACGGGATCGCGATCGATGACGCGTACACGCGACAACCAGAAATCGCCGGGTCGGCGATGGAGAAACCAGCTTCGAGATGGTTCCTGCACTCGGCTTCGACGACGCGAGTGGAAGAGCAGACGTGGGGGATTTTCCGTGAGTATGTGCTCCAACACATCGAGGCGTCGAACTACCAGTCAGTGCTACGAGAGAAGCTCCAGCGTCTAAAGCAGACAGCGGATATCGAGACCTACAACGGCGAGTACTCGGCCCTCATCTTCCGAGTCGAAGGCATGAGCGTGCTTAACCAAGTCCTGTTCTACGCAAACGGTCTCAAGCACGCGGAGCTACGTGAAGCTCGAGAATCCTGAGACGCTGAGTGACGCCATGGACTTAGCTGTCAAGTTTGAAGTAACCCACTTTGTAGAGGACGCTAGTGAGCGCAAGGTTCGTCACGAGAAGACGAAGACCTTTAATGAACAAGCCCAAGACAACAAGAAAACGTCTAAGGGAAAACCCTTCCGAGGAAAGGGACGATTCAAACCGAGCTCGAATTCGAAGAGCAAGGAGACTCGTACCTGCCACTTCTGCAACAAGCCTGGCCACATCAAGGCCAACTGCTTTGCGTGGAAGAAGGAGCAAGGGAAGCAGGGAAACGAGAAGTCACGTCTGTGAAAGAGGGTCCTGTCGTGGAGGAGAAAGTAACCGGAGCGGTTAAGTTTGATAATGTCAGCCTTAATGTTCCGAGTGAAAACCCTCTAGTCTACAAGTCACGTCCACTGTTCACCGTCAGCGGTGATATCAGTGTGGCTGGCAAGATGAAGAAAACATTGAAGATGCTTCTAGACTGTGGTGCAACCACGATCTACGTGTCGAAGCGGTGGTAAGAAGAACACCAGCTAAAGACAACGAAGTTCAGCGACAAGAACATTCGAGTCAAGCTAGGAGACAACCAGATTGTGGAGGCCCCGCTAGAGGTGCTACCTCTAAGTATCATGGTCTCTGGATTAGAAGATGCGTATGAGTGCGTCGCAGTTGTCTACGCGATACCTGAAGAATTTGACTG